TTGAACTTGTGAAGTCGAATTTAACCCACAACAATGGCTCATTTCTTGATACGCCAAGAGAATATAAACTATCTTGACTAAGCTTATTCTGTCAAGATGGCTAGATATTAACCTCGTTCTATTTCTGCGTTTTTATGGACCTCGACCTCGTTTCGGTCCATAAAAACGCAAAAAGAGAACGTAGCCAATATCCAGCCATCTTGACCTCAACTTGGTCAATAGCCCTTATGAATATATTTCATGTAGACCCATACAAATCTGGCAAGAGAGGACAATACAAAAAAATTCACTTCCGAGCCCGGATTTTGTCTAACGTATAGCTAGCTCAGTGGACATTAGGACTAATTTTTTTAAACTTTTAGGACTTTATTACATTTAGGACAGTTATTACATTTAGGCCTTCAACAAAAGTAAAGTGAGGTATTTTTACTGAGAGTTTGGCTTTTTTTACTTCCCAAGAGCGGTGGTAGATATTCCTATGAAAACTCTTACACTTCGCCATGAAACTTGTTTTCCAAGATCATCTCACAGCTGGACCTTGGGCTGCCTGTGATCAGTCCAGCTTATCAATCGATCTCAAAGGCGTCCGAATACGTTTTTGACTTATCTGACTTTAAATAAAGTGATTTGGCGGATCAAAGTTGCGATTTTTGGCATGCTGCCAGCTATAAAAACCCTATGTCCTACATTATTTAGTTGACCTTGGGTCAGTTTTGAGTGGGCATTGCTTCCTATCGATGAACTCATCTAATTGATGCTCAACATCTAATCTATTATCGTTGGTTCGATGATATCGAACATGAATTTTGATGCTGATCATATTATATTTTTGCATTTGTTGTACAAAATAAATACCAAAATAAAGTCAAAGATCGGTATTATGGTGATATGAATATATGAAAACAAAAACCGTAGTTAAACGAACAAATCCCTCGTTCGAATGGAAGAGGTGAGTTTCTAAAGAAACTGTGCTGCTTCGAAGGTGATTTGTTTTTATCTCTTGAGTTCTTGATGTAAAATGACTTCCGTAGAGAGTTTCTGAAACGGGCATTTCTAGCGTTATCCCTTTGTCAGTCAAAACAAGAGGGCTGTGAGCAATTGCAGATCGACGAAGAACATATATTTAACTTAATAATTGTATTGAAATGAATACAACATTGCTTGCATTTATTACGGTATTGAACTAGTCAGGGAACATGAGTGTCTTGAACATCTTCATCTGGCATTCTTCTCCTACATCATGCCTGACTAAAGTATAATTTGTTGGAACACAAACAAATCCTCGTGGATGCCCTAACTCAAATCCGTTATTGTTTGTGACACTTATTCCGTTCCTGTCTGCAAGCATGCCAACGTAGACATCGTCCAGTCGAAAGAACGGAAAAGAAGAGAACGTTTCGACAAATGTACTTACAACATCGTGAGATAAAATATAACCAAAACCGGGGCAGAAATCTGGATATCTTGTCTTGTCATATTCTTCGTAAGTTACCTTCCATTTTCCTCCCCTGAAAGGAACATTATTTGTGTAATGATTGCCAGCGTAAAGCTTTTTCTTCGGTGTGTTGGGCGCACTCAAAAAGGAAAGAACTCTTGGAATATGCACAAACACGTCGTCGTCCAGCTTCAAAAGAAATGAGAAATTACAATACGTTACTGCCCATTCGAAGCCCATTTGTATCTTTCGGGTTTGATTCCAGTAGTGTTCGTAATAGCTAGCTCGCACAAGGTCTTTATGAGCCTTATCTTCTTTTAATAATGTGACTGATACAGCTTCATCTCGTGTTTGGCCGACGAGGAAAACCGTTGTCCATCTTGGTCGAAATGCTCTTTCGAAAGCCCAAGTCTTGCGAATAAGATTCCTTCTTTGAAAATTACCTGGAGCGGATGAGATAATCATAAGAAGATCGTAATGTTGCATACAAGATCTCCTGGTTGTAAGAAATGTTCTGTGTTTAATTTGCGGCGAAGTATAAGTTGTTGTTAAGGACCCTGTTGAGGTTGTCGGGGTTGTTGTCAGTCGTCGCAAATCGATCTTCTCCATCTGTCGATCGACTTCCTCTCCTGAAGCTAAAGAGGTGAAGCGATACTTCCAAACATATACTAGCTGGAAAGATACATATGTTGTCATCCCAAGGAATAAAGCTAACAAAATTTTCTTCGTCCGCTTCCTAACCATTGCTTTTGAAACCGAAAAATATTTATGAGGGAATTAACGCGAACAAAGGATGTGCACAAATTCAGACAGCACTGCATAGATATGCAAATCAAGATGACGATTTTCTACTAATGCAAATATATCTGCTTCAGTTATAACAACTGGGACAAATTAAATGCCATCATTTAAACAAGCAATCCTACCAAAACATCAGAGCAGCTGTCGTTCGAATGTCATGTTGCTGTGTACACTTGGATTGACACGAAGTGTATTTATTTATGCCATATTATTGGTATGATTCGCTTTGAATTCAATATCATTAGAATACAGTGTCGCTCGCATGGTGTTATATCAACAAGCGAGTCCTGGAGCTCTTAACTTTTTCCCTGATTACTTCTTCCATTGTTGATAGATGTGATTACTTGGCAGATTGTGGGAATGCGCTGGGATGCAGGATATCACATCTTTAATAGCATTTTTATGACTTCAGTTATGGAAAAGACGATTATTTTCACGATAGGGCAGGAAGCTTGCGATCGTTTATTAAACCGGGACCCTGTCATGAAAGAACAGCGAATCGATGCTATTTGTTGTATTCCGTGCAATGACTGTGATTCCAAGTATATTGGACAGACCAAACGTCAGTTTGTTATACGTTTGAAAGAGCACCAAAAAGCGGTCTTCTGTTGCAAAAAAGAAAGTTCAGCTCTGTTGTAATACACATGCCTAATCATACAATTGAATGGGATACTTCTAAAACTATCACCACTAAGCATGTTCATGTTATCACCAGCGCCTTTGTCTGGAAGCCGGCTACCTTTAAAATAAGGAAAGGGGAACGGGGAAAAGAAGGACGGGGAAAGGGGAATGGGGACTGGCGAATCTTTAAAATGAGGTATCTTTGAAAGTGGGAATCTTTAACACGGAGAATCTTTTAAAGCGTGGAATGAAATCGACCAAATGTATGAGCGGTCTGTGGAAAAGTTGCTCTTTTTCCAAATATGCTTTGTCCTACCACATCTTGACCGGATAAATCTTCCCAGTCAGACTGCGGTAGGCCATCAAACCGATCTAGTTCTAGCCAAAGGAAAGTTCCTTTGGCTTTTGCCGATAAACGTTTGACTTAAATTCAGTCATGTTGACCGTGCATTAACAAGACTGGGAAAGAGCAAAGTGTTGCCTGTCGTGTCAGGGAGAATTTGGCTTTTCATAGGTTGTTGTACTTTGCTCTGTATGTATGTATGTAGTGGACATATTTATTTCTTATGATTTTTTGGGTAAATGGTAATGTATGAAAATTCCGGTTACACATTTGACAATAAAGTCAAACCAATTGAAATCAGGAACAAAAAGATCATAACACTAGCATTAGACACAAAGGATCTTTTAACAACATTTTCCCAGCTGTTGAATGTCATTGAACCTGTGCACGGGGTTCCTTTGTACTCACGTGAATTGTCTGCATGTTACTTCCCACATTGTTATAAATAGTATCATTTCACTCTTAGCTCATCAGTAATTTGCTGCACTACCTGTCACCGTCTCTGAGTCGTAGGTCTAAAGTAATATTAACGATATCGACTTAACTTGCGACGAGGCGCTCTATTTTTGCCTTTGTTGTTTACCTGTCAACAACGATTTTATCTTGTGTCATGCTATAAATGTGTGTCAATCAGATTTTACCGGAAATTCATGCGGCTGTCGAAGGGGGATAGTTAACAGAGCGCAATGTACATGTTTACTTTGAAGGGAAAAAAAGGTGAAATGTCTCTGCTTGATCCGTCGATCTGTCGCGTAGCTTTACTTATGTCAACAGACCTGAATTTTAAAGGGTTTACTGGCGTAAAATAGAAAAAAAAAAGCAACTTTTCCACAGACCGCTCATTCATTTGGTCGATTTCATTCCACGTTTTACAAGATTCTCCGTTTTTAAGTTTCCCCCTTTTAAAGATTCCCGCTTTTAAAGCTTCCAGCTTCTAAAGATTCCTCATTTTAAAAGCTCCCCATTCCCCATTCCCCATTCCTCATTCCCCGTTCCTCATTCCCCATTCCTCATTCCCCATTCCTCATTTCCCATTCCTCATTCCCCATTCCTCATTGCCCGTTCCTCGTTGCCCGTTGCCCGTTCCTCATTTCCCGTTCTTCATTTCCCGCTCCCCGTTGCCCGTTGCCCGTTCTCCCGTTCTTCATTTTTCCGCTCCCCGTTGCCCGTTGCCCGTTCTCCGTTGCCCGTTCTCCGTCGCCCGTTCTCCGTTCCTCGTTCTCCGTTGCCCGTTGCCCGTTGCCCGTCGCCCGTTTCCCGTTCTCTCGTTCTCCCATTCTCTGTTTAAAGGTAGCCTTTGGAAGCCTGAAATATCAACTCCGCCAACGCTCCTTTAAATCATTTCGAAGGCGGCTTATTACCTGACGCCTATTTACGCTCACCTCAATGCAGAATCTCTGAAAACAGACACCATTCCAAGAGATTAAAGAAATGGTTATCCAAGAAAACTTCGGCATTCCTTTATCACTAATGTCAGTGTATACGTAGAGATCGAAAGACATCAATTATTCAGACTAGACTGCCTACGGAAGACCGGCGCCGGAATATGTGCTTACAAATGATACGTCAAGCATGGTCTGACAGGCAGAGTCCCGAAGGATCTATCTGGAATCAGCGAATCTAGCCTCCACCGACTCTGGGTACAGGTGTAAAATAAAAAATAAAAGCTTCACATAGACTGTGTAACATCATGGCGACCGGTCGAGCACTGCCGAGCTCGCTGAAATATTTTGTGTTCTCGCTCATAGCGGCTTTAATGATACGGGAGAAAGTCGAAAAACAACTCCTATACGGACCAGCTCATTTGGGAAAAAACGAGGAAGGACAAGAACGTCTGGC